TAACTTAGTTCATTAAACCTGCATCGCGTTTATGTGTTTTTCTTTTTCTCTTCTGTACTCAGACGCATGAAATTTGTGTAAAAATGCGCAAAACTATAATTTTCCATGTAGAAATACGTATATGTTATGTGATAAATAAACCTGTCGTATCGTAAAAATTCGCTTATTACGGAGCGCAATTGAGCGTACAAGAATTACATCGCATGAATATTTATTTTATTATATTTTAACGATATTTTAAACATCACATATTGGTGATGAATGGCACTCGCAAAGAAATAAACGACCATTTAAGTGACCATCAAAGTAATAATGCACATACATCGAACAGGCGGTAGACACTAGCTGAAGCTATGCAGTCCAGGACTAAAGGGTAGCTTTGCCCGACGCCAATAACATCTACTAGCAGATTCACACAGTAGGAGTTGTCTGGGCGGTCCTAGTACCCCTGGTCTATCTCAGATTATTATCGTGTTTGATTATCGAAAAAATCCCCCTCCCTCATATATATATATATTAAAGAATAATATATATTTTCAAAGAATAATATATATATGTATATATACATATTATTCTTTGTAAAAGACAGAGGCAGTTGGAAGTAGCAGCAGAAAATGAAATTGCTTTTTTTTTCAGATAACCGATTTTTAGAATATACTTCTCTAATAATTTTATTTACGTTTTGTTTAACACTTAGCTAAACGGTAGCATATTATTAATGCAAGTTACCGAGTGGTATCACTTCTAGAAATCACTGCAAAGCGGAAAAAATTTGTGGGTTGGTTAATTACCGCAAGCAGCACGATTAATTTAACTGAGTCGGAGGGCCAATTACAGGAATCATTGGTGGTGCTAATCCGAATAGTTTCCAGATGCGAAATTCATGCCAAATGCATCGGCCTAATGTAACACTGCTGATAAATTAAGGCATACGATTACAACAAGTATCAACAATTTGGAGTGGCCTGGATGTCAAATCACTCTTGAAGTTCCTGTTTCATCTAAGTGATTCAATGCCATGCATGTCAGAGCCCTGCGCGTGAACACATGAAAGTTTTGGCGGAAAAATTACTAACTTGGGAACCAGAAAAGTTGGGAAGTTGAAATTTTATGGGGATGTTCCTCGTCCACGTACAAATTAAAGATTTTGAATTCAGCCTCCAGGATTCGTAGCTTATAAAACAGACTGGATGGTTTGAGCCAACATGGGAGCTTTTTCTGAAGAAAAACGATGGGGAAAAGGGCTTCTCCGAGGTGTTCCGTCACTTTCATTCATTGACGAGGACTTCGAATTCCCAATAATCGAATGCAGCACCAGGCTGGGCTCCCATCCGTGCTCTTCCAGAAAGCGAACTCCTTTATTATTACAACTCGAAACTGGTGTGCCTTATGCGTTCGTACAACGTTCAAATAGCCCATCGTGCTGCTTACTCCAGCAGTCAGACCAAAGCTCATCGTATTATTTGGTGTATCAGATAGGTATCGCCTCCCGGGCTACCCCATCCATCTCCTGAGCCTCTTTTTCTGCCAACCACCGATAACGATGAAGGATGCGATGCAAACTGTAGCATAAGAGAACTCCATACTAATACTGAACAAAGGCGCCGGATTCAGAATCACAATGAAATCCATGATTTATCCGAATAACCTGTAATCAGCTTACCTTATCCCGCCCAGTTATGATCGAAAGTTCGCTGTGTGGATCTCTAATTTATGCAACTGATAACTTTTGCAGTTTGACCAATGCTAAATTGCCTATGGTGGTCAGCCAACTGGCAATTGTGAGTTTTGTTTAAATTCTTGTTGGG